GAGAAGAATTAGGCTATTTGACAAAAAGTTATAAGGCTTTTTAAAAAACTAGTATCACACCCGTGCGCTGCACGGGTCATATTTACGTTACTAAAATAATATCATTTTTAATGATAAATTATGATATGTAATAGAATATAGAGATTTTATTATTTTAAGGTACAAAAGTTTTTTGCTTAGAAATTTCAAACGACTTTTTGTAAACTGCATTATTCGTACAATTTATGGGAACATTGTGTTCGTTACATATCAAAATCTTCAAGCCACTATAATTTGTTACTCTATTATTATTATTACGTTTATTATTATGATTATTATAATTACTCTATAACTTATCTTTATTATTATTACGTTTATTATAATGATTATTATACGGTACTATATTATTACTATATTCTTTTTATTCTTTCACATGCTACCTTTCTTATTATGCATGGTACCAAAATCTATAACGTATAAAATTGCCTTATTAATAATTAATAATTAATAATTAATAATTAATAATTAATAATTAAGGTTTCACATGTTACCTTTTTTATTGCACAATACTAAAAAATATAAGGTATCAAATTACATTATTAATAATTGATAATTAATTTTATAATTTATAATTTTGGTCAAAAAATATAAGGTGTGTGAATATATTTTTTTAAAATCAAGTCAACACTTTGATTTATTTTATACATGGTAATAGCACAAAACTAACATACCTTGATTATTATTACGTTTATTATTATGATGATTATTAGTATACGGTACCATATTATTTTCATAGTATTATTATTATTCTAAATGTTACCTTTTTTATTACACGTACAAAAAAATATAAGGTATGAAATTACCTTATTAATAATTAATAATATAAATTATAATTTTGGTAAAATATATAAGGTATGAGAATACATTTTTTAAACCAAATCAACGCTTTCATTTATTTTATACACGGTAATAGTACAAAACTAACTTAGCTTTATTACTATTATTACGTTTATTATTATGATTATAATTATTATTATTCGGTACCATATTATTACCATGTTATTATTCTTTCATATGTTACTTTTTTTATTATACTCGGTACAAAAAATTGTAAGGTATGAAATTAACTTATTAATAATTCCGTGGCATCATTATTATTGAGGATTTAGTATTACCTTGATTAGAAAAAATCCGTTCAACTAATATTAATTACCAATTATAAATTGTGTCATATTATCGTTGTTCCTTTTCTAAAATGATTACGTGTTAAAACTATTCATTTTAAAAAGGAAATTGGTTAGTCACCATGGTTAATACCGTGTGATAAAAAAGGAAATGTATTTATTATAGCTTTTAAACCATTTTTTAGATTAATAATAATTATTATTTTTTAGATTAATAATATCACGTTTTTAAAGGCATTTTGTGTGAAAAGTAATATTAATTTTTTAAAAAATAACGTTTTCGATCTTCCGTATAATATTGCGTGGCGTCATTATTATTGAGAAATTGAAATTAACTTAATTAGAAAACATCCGTTCTGTTAATATTAATTACGAACTACAAAAGAAATTGTGAGGTAATGTTAACTTTTTTAAAAGTACTATTTCCTTATTCAGAATATTTACCTTTTCATATTACCATATATATGGTTTAAATCGCCGCATTAAATAACATCCGGAGTACATGTTTTCTTTTTTATAATATTCAGTGTCGTTATTATTACTAAACAATTTAAATTACCTTAAAATTCATTCCATTGATATTAGTTCAAAATAGCAATTGTTTGATATTACCATATTGCTTAAATCACCACATTAAATAACATACGTGTTTTAATGCCTATTTTCCTTTAATAGAATATAATAATTCGGTATTATATTACCAAGTACCAATACCAAATTCTGTATAAAATATAATATAATTATTAGCATTTAATAATTACCAATTTAACTTTAGAATTACCAAAACTAATACCTAGCACTCTTGGGCGGGAAAACACAAAGTTGACTTCACTTCTTTTTAAATAAAGTATAGACTAGCATCACTCCCGTGCGTTGCACGGGTCATACTTATATTACTAAATTAAGATCATTTTTAAAGATTACAATTTCTTATTTAATACTCCCTCCGTCTCTGAGACATCTTCCCCTTTCATTTTTTCTTTTTACAAATTTCTTCTTTTTTCTATTAAAAAACTACTTTTATCACTTATTTTTTTATACCCTATGTATCACATCATACTTTTTTACGAATAATATATCTATCACCGGTATATTAGTATTAGTATTTTTTCTACACAGTAATACATGATTTATTCTTGCTACAAAGTAATTTATGATTTAATTATTATTTCTATATCCAACACTTAACACATGTGCCACTATTTCTATGTATTACTTTGACATTTTTTTATATTTAATTTATTTTATTTTTTTTTTTGATTTTTTATAATTGTGCCTTCCTTAAATGCATAAACTTATATATTTAAATTTCTTCATAAAATATTTGGCACCGAATCTCTAAATGGAAACATAATTAAATTGAAAGCTTATTTTCTTAACATAATCACACCGAAATAAATTAATAATGATTAAATATGGTAATATTAAGTTTGGACATGTTCTCTAAATGGAAACATTTTTAAATTGAAAGCTTCTTAGATTAGAATTATTAGACGATAATAATGACTAAGTACCGTAATTTTATTACACAGTATATTATTATCATTTTGCTTACATGGTAATAAATTAATAATGATTAAATGCGGTAATATTATTACACGATATATTAATATTATTATTCTTGTTACACAGTAATACATGATCTATTCTTATTACACGGTGATTTATGATTTAATTATCATTTATTTATTCAACACTTACTATATGTACCACCATTTATTCTATGTATTACTGTGACATTTCTTTTATATTTTATCATTCTAAATAAGAATAGAGTAATTAAGTAATTATGCATGCGAAATTATTTTAAAAAAGAAACAACGTTGATCTTGTTTGCGAAATTAGTCCCTTTCTTTTTATCAGAATTAAATAATTATGCCTGCGAAATTTCTTTTAATTTATCATTCTATTATTCTTAAAAGTATTTCCTTTTAAGAATAGAGTGATTAAGTAAACAATTACCTATTTAATTAGGCATAAATAATTACTTTTTGATAAAATAATCAGGCATAAATTATTCCAAGTAATTATAATAATAATAGTAATAATTAGGCGCAAATAATTACCTATTTAAAAAGGAAACAAAATATAAAAAATCTACTGCACCGTCCATTCCTTTTTTATCACAATCAAGTAATTATGTGAAATTGGTTAGGAAACAAATTACTTCTTTCCTTTTTTATCAGAATAGAGTGATTATGCATGCAAAATTTCCTTTAATTTATCATTCTAAATAGGTAATATTACAAAACCAATTATAGCCGTAGATCTTGTTTGTTCCTTAATATCAACGGTGCAGGAGATGAGTGCATTGAGCGGGAAAATAATTCTCCTGCTTTTAAGAATAGAGTGATAACAGGATTATGTCTTGATTCAAGTATTTTTAATATAATAAACAGGTTATTTCTAAAATTTTAGTTTATTTAAAAGAAGAAAGAAAAAAGTGAGAATTTTTTGGACATCCACAAATAGAAAATTATGCTAGCACAATTTCTAACTTGATTAGCACGACATCTACAAATATTATCATTTTTGTAACATAATATTCTTATTTTTCAGTGATAAGCTATTGTCAACAATTTTCTTCTTCTACATCTTCAATGTATTATTTAATTATTTGTTTGGGAGGGGTGAGGGATTTGCTGAACGGAATGCAACACTTAATCAATTTACGAATCGAAATACTAAAATAGACCATTTCAGAAAGGGGAGGGGGTGAGGGATTTGTTGTTCACTCTTTGATCTGAATTTATTAAGGTTTGATCTGATCTTGTCTGATTTAATCTGATTGTAATTAAATTTAAAGTTGTTTCTGATCTGATCTGATTTGATTCCACTAAAAATAAAAAATACTCAACATGAATAATGTTATGTTCTCTTCAACTTATTATTATTACTTACTCCCTCTATCGAGGAGAGAACTTCCCATTTGGACTTTTCTTCTGTTTTATGAATGGTTGGCTTATGACTTAAAATGACTAAAATACTCTTACTAAAAATTGGTAGTAAATGAAAGGGCAAGCTCGCTGAATAGAAACATCATCATTACAAAAATTGTTTATAGTTAAAAATTGGTAGTAAAAGAAAGAGCAAGCAAACTGGTCCGATCATCGGCTGATTTTTTTCAAGTAGATCTTCGGTCTAGTCCAGTTCGGTCTTGGGTCCCATATTTGTGAATACGTTAGGCTGTTACTTTACGTACCCTATATGCTATAAATAGAAAGTAATGATTTGGCAATTTTCCGTATGTCATTTGTAATGATTTGACATACTGATGAGCGATAGAGATTATCCATTAAGAAAAGTGTAATTTATATAATAACTTTCTCAATATAGGATCATACTTTTTTATTATCCAATGTAGGACCATTGGTCATTATTTATTAATCATTATTTAACTAAATGTCCAACATCACATGGACATTATTCTTCTCACTAGTCATTATTAAGTCTTATTTAGGGAATAAAAAAGTTTAAGTCTTACATTGAAAAATGACTTATATTTTTGTCTTATTCAATGCAAATTTCACTTAAGAAAACTACGGAGTACTATATTTGGCAAACATATTAACATTCTGCAAGCATTTTTCATTTTTCTGATATAGGTCTGTTTGGGAATAGTTTCGTTTTGGATAAAATTTTAACGGTGCATATTACTTTGAAAACGCTATCCGTAGATAGTCTTTTCAAAACACTAACGCTAATCTTTAACGCTATTCCCAAACAGTCTGAGTAATAATAAGTGATAAGACTAGAGCTTCGTGGCCGTAGTCCTTATCCACAATCTGATGTGTTGCCATTGCTAGCAGTGCGTAATCTTAATTTAAATTTAGTACTGCACAAAAAATGGCACACTCTTTAAGGGGAAGAAAAAAATAATCCTTTCTGGGCTTCCATTATCACTCAAGCCAAAAACACCTCTAATCTTGCTGCATACAGTATATATTACCTGTCCCAAACACCCTAGAGAGAGAGAGAGAGAGAGAGAGTAGAGAGAGAGATGTTGGAAGGGAAAGCAGTGATTGAAGATACAGACATGCCAATGAAGATGCAGATTGAAGCCATGGCATGTGCTTCTCAAGCTCTGGATCTTTATGATGATGTTCTTGACTGCAAATCCATTGCTGCTCACATCAAGAAGGTAAGGTAGGTGAGCTCAATTAACACAGTACTATAATAATCTATTTATTTGGATGAAGAGAAATATAGAAGCAGGATAGAAAAGGGAGGGAGAAAAAAATAGAAAATGGTTAGAAAATTAGTAGAATTTCAAAGGTGTTTGGATGGGAAAAGAGTGGGAGTGAAAGAAAAGTTCTCTCTCCATTCCACTCCACTCCTTTGGTGATATAAGGAAGTGGAGATGAGGAAGATAAATGTGTTAATGGCTTCCCAGAATCAATATCAACCAACCAAACTACGGAGTAACAAAAAAAACCGAGTAGAAATCCCGTGAGAGTAGTGTCAAGAAAGGGTGTGTGTAGGTAGATCTTACCCCTAAGTAAAGAGGTTGTTTCCAAGAGACCAACCAACCAAACAAGGTGCAAGAATTAATGAGCACCTCCCATCATTAGTTAGATTGACCATTTTCTCCTGACAATAATGTATGTGCAGGAGTTTGACAAGGAATATGGGAGTGGTTGGCAATGTGTGGTGGGGTCACACTTCAGTTGTTTCTTCACTCACAGTAAAGGAACTTTCATCTATTTCACCTTGGAGACTCTCAACTTCCTCATCTTCAAGGGGTCATCTTCTCCCCAGAGCTCTCCTTCATGATGCAGCCAAGCCATCCAATGCATAGTTGAAGGGAGGATGAAAATCAGCATGGGAGTAAAAGTCCTATAGTCAGTAACCATCAAACCTATGTACCTTTCCTTTTTCTACATATGAAAGCTATATGCATCTGAGTTCAAAGTAAAATGCAAAACACTAGACAGTTATCTTTCCAGTGAAACTTATTCGTTACATGCTGATCAGTAGACATGGTTCTGGTAGGGAACAGGAACAGGCAGCTCTTATTCCGGAACCAAAACAACTTTAAAATGTCCTAAGAATTGGAAACCATTTGTGTCATCCCTGCATGGGATACTCAACAAACACAAATACATGCCATAAATAAAATGTTCAAAAGAGACTTGTACCGGGATGTCCACAGCCAATTCAAACCACAGGGGTCAGTAGTGGTTTGTTAAGAAAGTGAGCCTCTAAATTGCCAAGAACAAGGTCAGCCATGACCTTGCGTGTTTCCACCGTTCCACTTCCAACATGGGGCAACAGGACTACATTGTCCAGCCCAAACAGCTCCTCGGGCACGCAAGGTTCATTTTCAAACACATCAAGTCCAGCACCACCCAACCGGCCTTCAACTAAAGCTGATACCATCTCGCGCTCGTCAACGTGCGAGCCCCTACCAATGTTGATAAGAACTCCCTGTGGGCCAAAAGCTTCGATGACTTCTCGGTTGATGATGTGGTGAGTCTCTGGGGTTAATTCACAAGCAACAACTAGAATCTGGCAAGCAGAAGCCAACTCAACCACGCTAGGGTAGTACTTGTAACTTGTGTTTTGTTTCTCTGTTCTGGAGTGGTAACAGATTTGACAATCAAAACCCTCTGCTCTCTTAGCAATTGCTGACCCAATCCTTCCAAGTCCTATAATCCCAATCGTTTTGCCGCTAAACTGCAACAAATGATGGCAATGAAAGGCTTAGGATGAGTATCCAGATATCAAAATCCCCCCNAAATAATTCAGTACACTGCATTTTTATTGTGTTTGGATCACACACAATGCCATTTGGGTTGGGGGGTGACAAGCAAATTTACTTTTTGTGTTTGGTTTGCCTCCAAAAAACTAGCTATAATGAAATATAATTAATGTTATGCTCCACCCGTCCCATGAAAAGAGCTTAGTTTCTTGACATACTTTCATCCAAAAAAATCATATTTAATCCCAAAAAAAAACAACTTCATATTTCATTATGGGTGTACCTTACTCAAAAATGTAAAAGTTTTACAGTGATTGAATCAGTGTCTTTTTTAAGTGATAGGGGAAGACAGGGAGTGCATGTTTAGATATCTTGCTTTGCTTCTTACTTTCTATGATGTTCTAGGCAGTAATTGCATCAAGGGTGTTGGGATTATTCTAATGGACTTAGCACATTTGTGGCATCAAGATTATATAGATCAATTGCATATAAGTTTCAGAAAGCCACCCAGAAATAACTAGGTAATATTCACTGTAGTTAAAACCCTTTCATTTGAACAATTCAAACAAAATTTTTATTCACTGTAGTTAAAACCCAAACATTTACCACCACATTTGTATTCACTGTAGCAAAACCCCAAATTTTTATTCAGTGAATGATTGAACCTTAGTCGTCAACTTGTAGCTACCCATCTTCCACAATCCTTTCCTCACATGTCGATCACCCTCGCAAATCTTTCGGAGAACAGCGAGCATCAACCCGATTGCCAGGTCAGCGACGTCGTCGGTCAACACGTCGGGGGTATTGGTGACCCGGATCCCCTTTTCCCTGCACTTGGCCAAGTCGATCTTGTCCAACCCGACGCTGAAGCTAGAGACGATCTCCAGCTTGGGAAGTGCGTCGATCAGCTCGGCGTCGGCGCCTATAAAGGCGTTTCCTACGACGGCGCGGATGGAGTTGCCGTTCTCGCTAAGGAATTCCTTCCTCTGCGGGAAGTTCCAGAAGCGGAAGAGATTGAATCGGTTGTCGAGTTCTTGCTCTAGGTACGGATTCACGGGGCATGTCAGCAGCACTCCGATGGTCTCCATTTTCAGACGTTTCTCCGATATTGAATCCCCGTTGACGGCAACGTTCTGGAAGCAATACTTATGAAAATATTTGCTAGTCTATAATGTGAAAAATTAAACTAAGTGTTGAACGAGTGAGATCTGAACCATTAAATGCTGAATTAGTAAGAGGTCTGAACCATTAAGAGCTAGTATATTGCTTAACTATTTAGAGGCAAATGTCTGATCAATTCAGATAAGAGGTCTTAACCATTCAAATTCTGTATAATACTTAACCAGCAAATGTCTAAACCATTCAGACATCTAAATCATTAAGAGGCTAAAACAAACCGTCTGAACCATTAAATACTGAACCATTCAGACATCTGAATCAGCGGAAACAAAAAGCCTCTAAGAGCAACTCCGCACGTGTTAAAATTTGGGAGGCTAAATGCTATTTTTGCTTCCCTCAACTGAGCATTTAAAATTCACTAAAGTGTAAAAATTTAAAGATAGAGCATTTACTGTACATAAAAACGAGCTCTAACGGGTAAGCCATAAAATAGAGTGATTGCTATTTGTTCCGTTTCGTCTTCTATATTTGAAAGCCGGCCTTGCATCAGCTATCAATCTATTTTTCTTTGATTTCCAATTCCCCTCTGTTTTCTTCTTTGATTCCGATTCTGCTCATCTATCATCTGCAATTAGCTTTGGCTTACGATTCTACTGTTTCTTCTTGTTGGAGCTTGCTGATTTTTCTTTTGAAACACCTAGGGCTTGTTGTTTCTTGCTTCCTTTGGTTTTAGATCTAGTACTATGCTTCTTCATCTTGCTCGAGTTTCTTCTAATAGCTAGGGCTTTTTTTTCCTTGCTCATCCACCATATTTAATTTCCAGTTGCTAATTTTTTATTTAAAAAATTGAGGTTTTATTGGTTGTTGTATTGATGGTTGATAGTGAATATAGATGATATGGTTGGAGTGGATGAAGAAAAATGAGCTGTAAAAACACTGTAGACAAGCTAAAGAGGCAAATAGAAGATAAAAAAATAGAGGATGGGTTGGAGATGTTCTTAGTATTTTACTTTTCCACCACATTTCCAATCATATCATCTACGGAGTATTTTTTTAAATTTTTAAGAAGTTCTCCATCGTACTTTAATAACTCCATATTGTCAATTCCAAATTTTTAAGAAGTTCTCCATCTTAATTTTTAAGTTCTCCATTGATATTGCTTTTAGTGTCAACGATGACACTCGTTCATTTAAAGCTCCTCCAGAGTTCCATTCACAAAATTGATGTATGCACCATCTAACTCATTCCCAAAACCCCCAATCGCACCCCACCTTAGCTTGATCTCTACGCCCCACCCTAGACCCTCCTTATATCCCCTCTAAATGTGTGATTATTATGCAATGCATAATAGCCACACATTTTGAGAAGGACTTAGGGTGGGCTGGGGTGGGGGTGAGTTAAGAGGGTAGGAACCATCACTTTAGTGAATGAGGCACCAGAGGTACTCCAAAAATGCAATAGCATCGCTCGTGGCACCATTGGTCAATGTCTACGGAACCGTACAAATTTATTATACCAAACTCAAACTCAAATCATAATATATTTTTGGAAAATGTTAGGGGTACACCAAAAGTGTACCCCAAACACCCCCCACCCCCTCCATCACCACAAAAAAAAAGCAAGAAAAATTCAAAAAAAAAATTAAAAAAAAAAATAAAATAAAATGAATGGTAAAGAGAGGGGTGGTGTACATTTGGGGTACACCTTTGGTGTACCCCTAGCATATCCCTATATTTTTCCATTACTTTGTTCATACTTTTAGTTTTTAAATAAAAAGATACATTAAACTTTGAACAAGATAAATACATAAATAAAAAAGTAAATGTCCAAATTGGTCCTCTCTAATAAGGTGATTTCTCAAATCAATCTTAAATACTCGGAGTAAGTTCTAATTACCTAGGTGACCCTCTATAATTGAGATTTATTTCTTAGATACTCCTTCGTAAATATTGTTATTCAAATGATGATTATTGGAGAGTACTTTGGCATTTTTATTAGTTAAATTTAGAATTTTTTTTAAAATAATCATTTCAAGTGAAATGCTTCCCCAAAATGGTTTTTTCTAATTAAAGATGCGTATTTGATCTGAATCTTAAAATATTTTTTTTTAGATTTTTAATAATTCAAGGATTATGTATAGTCAGTATATTTTTTTTAATTTTACATTTAATTGTATGGAAATGACCATTTCGAGAATAGACTTTAAATTTAGATGATAAAAATACCAAAATACTCTTTAATTAATCATCATTTGAGTAAAATTATTTACAAAAGATTATATGAGAAATAAATCTCAATTATAAAGGACCATGTAAGTAATTAGAACTTATTGACGACTGAATTGACAGAACACCTTATTACAAATGACTATTTTGAGAATTTACTCTAAATAAAATAAAACCAAATTTGCAGTGAACAAAAAAAATATTGCAAAAAAAAAAAGGAATTGCAGTGAGGTGGGAAGGGGTGAAAACCCAAGTTGGGTTTGTCAATGGCGTACCATTAGGGATGAAGGGCACCCAATTTTGATGAATACAGTATGGATGGAGATGCCTAGCTACTGCAATTCCTAGCTAGCTACTTGTTTGCAGAAATGTGTTGAAGGACTTCAGCCCTAAAGGAGATTGTGGACATCGGTTTCTTGACGCGTGACAGCGTGAGCAAGAAGACCCTGAAGTACTCTATCTACATTTCCCGTCGGGGTCAAGGAATTACTTACAATTGCTATTACTAAAAGCTTCTTCACATCAATATGTATGAAGTTATATTTTTGATTAATGAATCATGGGTCTTACCATCTTTATTCTTGTTATGCCACTCAGCAAATTTTACTGTGTGAAGTGTATTTTGATTTTGATTTAACTATAACTACAATCAGATCAGGTAAACAAAACACAACCATACTTCACAAACACGCATAACGAATAAAAACATTCCAAAACAGATTCATACCGGCATGTCAATAGAAAAGTCATACCACAGGGGTCAGTAGTGGTTCATTAAGAAAGTGAGCCTCTAAATTGCTGATAACAAGATCAGCCATGGCCTTGCATGTTTCCACCGTGTCGCTTCCAACATGGGGCAACAGGACTACATTGTCCAGCCCAAACAGCTCCTCGGGCACGCAAGGTTCGTTTTCGAACACGTCAAGTCCAGCACCAGCCAGCCGTCCTTCAACTAGAGCTGACACCATCTCGCGCTCGTCGACGTGTGGGCCCCTCCCAATGTTGATGAGAACTCCCTCTGGGCCAAGAGCATCAATCACTTCTCGGTTGACGATGTGCCGAGTTTCTGGGGTTAGTTCACAAGCGACGACTAGAATCTGGCAAGCAGAAGCCAACTCAACCACACTAGGGTAGTACTTGTAATTTTTGTTTTGTTTCTCTGTTCTGGAGTGGTAACAGATTTGACAATCGAAACCCTCTGCTCTCTTAGCAATTGCTGACCCGATCCTTCCAAGCCCTATAATCCCAATGGTTCTGCCACTAAACTGGAATGAATGAGAGCACCAAAAATGTTAGGAACTTAGGATGAGTATCAAGACATCAATATTACCCCCGAAAAAACCATGAAAGTTCAATGCAATAGCTGCATTTTGAGTTTTTTGGGTCACACAAAATGCCCTTGAAATGGGGGGAAGAAATGACAATGAAGGTAACTTTTTGTGTTTGGTTTGCCTCCAAAAATGCTAGGTATAATGAAATATGATTAATGTTATACTACCCCATCCCATAAAACGAGCTTGGTTTCTTGACATACTTTCATCCAAAAAATCATACTCCATATTCAATTTTTTAAATAAAAAAGTTAACTTCTATGTATTAAAACAGTTGTACTTCACTCAAAATTTAGATGTCGTACCGTGATGGAACTAGGGTCTTTTTATGGGATATAAGAAGTGCATGTTAAAATTTCTTATTGTGTTTCTAACTTTCTATGATGTTCTGGGCAGTAAAGGCATCCAGGGTGTTGGGATTTTACTCAGTTTTCTTTCCTATCGTTTCCCGAGTTCAAAATGGACCGATAAGGTGAAATAAAAAGCTTCAAACACGAGCTCTAGCTGCAATGGATATTTTTTGTAATAAAAGAAATGATGACATTCAGTTTATATAGCAGTTCTTTAAACATACACATTAAACTAATGCAGTTAGCACATTTGTGGCATGAAAACTATACATATCAATTGCATATAAAATTCCAGAAAATCGCCCAGAAATAACTAGGTTATATTCTAATGATCACTAAACAAGACTGAAAAATGCCCTTTCATTTGAACAATTCAAACAAAATTTTTATTTACTGTAGTTAAAACCATGTTTTTATTCACTGTAGTAAAACCCCAAATTTTGTCAAACAAGGCAATTGAAAACAGGGAATGATTGAACCTTGGTGGTCAGCCCGAGCTCGAAGCTACCCATCTTCCACAATCCTTTCCTCACATGTCGATCACACTCGCAAATCCTTCGGAGAACAGCGAGCATCAACCCGATTGCCAGGTCAGCGACGTCGCCGGTCAACACGTCGGGGGTATTGGTGACCCGGATCCCCTTTTCCCTGCACTTGGCCAAGTCGATCTTGTCCAAACCGACGCTGAAGCTAGAGACGATCTCCAGATTGGGCAGTGCGTCGATCAGCTCGGCGTCGGCGCCGAGAGAGGCGTTTCCTACGACGGCGCGGATGGAGTTGCCGTTCTCGCTCAGGAATTCCTTCCTCTGCGGGAAGTTCCAGAACCGGTAGAGCTTGAATCGGTTGTCGAGTTCTTGTTCTAAGTATGCATACATCGGGCATGTCAGCAGCACTCCGGTGGTCTCCATTTTCAGACGTTACTCCCATCTTGAATCCCAGTAAGTATTAAGGTTTTATTTCGCTTCCCGCACCAAAAAACAATGAACACTTTATAATTAAAAACTCATAGAATTTGTATTTAATTACGGAGTATATTTTTATTAATTACGGAGTACTGTATTGGATAAGATAATCATTTTTCACCTCTTGTTTTATAAAACTTTTAATATATTTTACAAAAATTTTAGTTTATTTGTATTTTAATTGATTATTTGATAAAATTAATCATTTTTGTTACTTTTTATTTTGTAGAACTTTTGACTCAGTTTTTGAATATGTAAATTTTTTTTTATTCCTTTAACGTTTTTAGTTAAAATGAATTTTAAAAATTTTAAATTCACCTCATTTTATTTAGAGGAAGATCGATATAGAAGTAATTGAGATTAGAAACCTAACATATGAGTTAAGTTCGTACACTAAAATGATAAAAGTAATTAACTTTTAACATTCTAATTTTGCCATCATATTATCACGTGGAAGATGAGAGCCACCTGTTTTTTTAATCGGGTCCACTACCACCACACTGTCAGCAGCAACATCACATCGCCACTCCCACCATCACACTTCTAGTGCTCATTGAAGAGGGCTCAATGTACAAGATCCGATGATCCTGGTCTAGCAGCTCATTTTCAGCCTCATCCTATAAGCATGATCGTGGTCGTTCTTGCCCTCATGGGTTAGTAAACGGGGACTAGTCGAGAAGGCTAAAATGCCTTAGTAGCCTAGTTTGAGATTTAGGCATGCACGTAATGTATACTCTTTGTTCATAAATAATCCTCCTTGACTTTTGGGCTTGGGGATGAGATCCATAACATAGATTTTAATATATGAATCACTTTCTCTTTCTTTTTTCTCCATACCTAAGTCCTCAAGAGCCACCATTGGTGCATGCTTTCAATGGTGTCTCGGCCTCATCATTTTGTGGGACAATATGATCGTCTTTAGCTTTTGGAAGTCGTCCTCATATATTGGACCATGCATTCGACTACTCGATTCTCACTTGTGTGGAATGCTTTTGTACTTGTCTTAGATGGTGGCACTTTTTTTGTCCAGTGCATTGAACCATTTCTTGAGCATCTCTTTTCACCTTGGACATTGTCCTCGTCTCAAGAAGTTGGGCACTCCTTTAGTGGAAACACTCTAACTTTAAGGTGGCAAGGTGATCGTCGTGTCCTCATACTTGTCTAGATAACTAGTTGTCCATGTAAAAAATGCTTAAAATTTTAAAATTTTATGGAATCTTTCCAGCATCGCGGGGAGAATCCCCCCCACAAGACTTTGGGGCCGAGGATCTGCCAGTGGGCATGGTTCACCCTTCCCCCTCCTCGGCCGTGGGAGTATGGGTATTGTCCTCTGTGTGGATTTTATTATAAACTCCGCCAGGGCTTATCCCTTAATCGACGGTCATGACTTGATCTCTATGTTGAACTAACTAAGAAAGATGGACCACTTCATCACACATGTCGTTGATGCTCTCAGACTCTTCATTATTGGACTAAGTGGTTAATGCGTTCTATGTCATACCGTGAACTTGTAAGTAATAAGTCAACTTTTTGACAGTCATGGCAATTGCTAACACATATTTCTCTACGATCGTGTATCGAAGTTCAATGTGGTGGAGCGCCCTACTCATGTAAAACACGGGACGCTCTTCCTCTTCTTCCTCCCGGATGAGGACGGGGTTAAGAGCACAACGACCCTCTTCAAAATAGAGGATCAAGATACCTCCCTTTATCATTTTGTAGAGCACCCGTGGTGTTTTAAGGTAGCTCTTTAATTCTTCGAATGCTGGCTAACATTTTAGGTTCCACTAGAAGCTCGGGGTCTTCCCCATTATCTTGAAGTTAAGAATGGCAAACTCTTCTCAACAAATTTTGATAAAAATTGGTTGAGTGCCGCCAATCTCCCGCTCAACCTTTGGACTTCCTTCGCTGTTAGGGGAGATTCCATGTTGAGGATGACCTTGACTTTTTCCAGGTTAGGTTCGATTCCTTTTTGTTGCCCATTTGCTCTAAAACTTTTCGTCTTTCATCCGAAAGGGCATTTTTGGAATTTAACATGAGTTTGAAATTTTCCATCATCTAGAAGACCTTAACTAAGTCATCTACATGGTCGTCTTCTTTGGAACTTTGACTATCATGTCGTCCATCTAGGCCGCGAGGGTCTTCCCTAGGATGGATTACTATTATTTATTACAACAACAATATCAGGTCGAGCTGATCCGCAGGCTTGGACATAAAGTACGAACCGGACACATAAGTTTGCGGGGCCGACTTAGATAGTTCGGGCCGATCCGTGCCCCGAAAATAAAAGTCCAAGTCGGTTTTTTTGTGGACGAGTTTTTATGGGCTGGGCTCGAACTCGGGCCCATGGTTGGGGGTCTACATAGCAAGGATGTGCAAGCAATTTGGTCAAATTTCAAGGAGCTTCCTGCAATTATTCCAAACAAGAAACAGAAAAGGTAAAAAAAACCAAAATAAGATACCGACGGAGTGACATACCATGACAATGATGCCATCGCGCCGGGAAGGTAGATTGGCATTTTCACGCCTCCGACGGAGACCGTTTTTCCCTCTGAATTCGCAGCCCACAACCAGATAACCCTTAAACAGGTTACAATGTCACATCCGCCGAATATGAATTCGTATCTGCTATGAGATCTGTTAATGATCAATAGGATATCTGGAAAAGCCACTGTTGCAAAACTGAAGCTGAAACCATCTGTTCCAGCTACTGGTATTCATCGTTCTATCGTGAAATTCATTGAATTGTATTTATTTTCATTTGATTTGGAAGGTTGATGGAGCTAGCGATGTGATTAGAGTGTTTGATCGAGTGTAATTTATCTGGAAGATGGCTTGGTTCGGTAGCGGTATCTCTCTTGGGAACTTGGATCTTGCCGGCGCAGTGAACAAACTCAGTGAGAGCGTTAAGAACATTGAGAAAAACTTCGATAGCGCTCTAGGCCTAGAGGATAAAGCCGATGCCAGTAATAGCGAAGGTATATCTCTATTGAATTTAGAATCTCCTTATGTAGCTAAACTGTTAAAGATCACCATCTTAGGTTATGTTTGTTATGAGCTCTATACTCCCATAAGACTCAATCATTGAGCCTAAAGCAACGTGGCTCCCGCCACATATACACCTAGCTAAGTACTATGCCAGAGCGAGTGAGTGATTCCGTAATAGTACCGTTGTCCATTGTTATTGTTGAAGGAATTCTTGTTGAAATTGAAACTGTTTAATTGGGAAGGCCATTGGCTTTATCTGTGCAATTGGTCTGTATGCAATCTATTACTCCATCCACCCCACTATCACTATCTTTTCCCCATTCCGTATCTGGTATATTTCTATGGTCCAAAATCATTCTTACGTATCCAATATCGACCACACAATTCCACTTTTTCTTATTTTATTTCCAACATTCCATGTCCCAAAGATAGTAGGACGGACTATGGAGAGCAATTAAAACGAGAACAGTTCATAGTGCTATACGTGCTTTAGCAAGAGAAGTTCAGTTTCTTGCTTTGTGATGTTTTTTTTGTTGTTGTCTTTTTCTTTCTTTTTTCATGCGGCTACCACTTACCAGCATCAGGGTTATGGCCTGCAGCAACGGATCGGAACACACTGTTTAACCCTGTTATGGCCTTTATGGGACATAAAGGTGAGGAGGATACAAAGTCTCTAGAAGACACTGACACCTCGACGCCCATCCCTGCTACGGTGGAGAATGCCATTGAAGATTCAGCTGATTCAGAAATTGAGAAACCTGCTGCCCCTATAGAAAGCTATGAAGCAGAAATAAGAACGAATGTAATAATTACCTCTGGCAAAGAAGATAATGACCTGTCAAGAAATTCTAATGTAAAGCTAGAGTATTCTCCTGAAGAAGCAAGAGACGCTTATCTGAAACCAGAGCCAGTTATGTCCACTGAAGACGTGAATAATGAAAATGCAGAACTGGACCCAACTGTATCTGCTGAAGAAGCTGATACGAGCTTAGCGAAACAAGGTTCTGCTGAGGAAACAAAACCTGGGAGTGAAGAACAAAATATTTCTAGTGCTCTAGTTGAAAGACAAGATGAACCTGATTTACCAGCTGAAGTATTTGAAAGCAAACCTGAGCATGGCGAGGAAGGAGAGTCTTCTAAATCACCAAAAAAGGAGGCTTCAAATGCAGAATATATTGGAAATCTGGCAGAGTTAGAATCAATATCGACCACTATTGCCTCTCAAGATGAACTTCACACTATAACATTTCATCCATCCAATGATTTTGTTAATTCACAGGAGAACACAAATGAGACTGATGAACAGAAGGAAGAGAACAAAGAGGAAGTTTCTCCAGTTGACTTTCAGTATGAATCAACCAGTCATTTTGGAAGTGGAAGGCATTCTGTTTCTGACTCTGCCGAGTCTAATAAAACTGGACCTTCGGAGGAACAATATGAAACTAACTTTCCTGTTGTCCAACATGATGAAGAAGCTTCAGAGATGGTTTCTGATTCGAGTTCGCATACAAATAATGTAATTGCTCAAGCTGTTGAGGTCAACCAGAGAGCAATCGATAATGTGGTAGGTCTTACAGAGCAGTTGAGTTCAGGGACCAACTTGACAGATGCTTCCAATATGGTAGCTGAACTAGAAAAAGTGAAAAGAGAGATGAAAATGATGGAATCTGCACTGTTAGGTGCTGCTAGACAAGCACAGGTATTTTCTCTATGCATGTCATGGAGCAATTTGTGAATCATATGCTTGCATTGAGTTGTAGGGTTTACTTCATTTTCATTGTTAAGACTTAAGATTCATGGAATACATGCTGGACTTACCATGCTAAATGGAAGTTTATAAAATCAGAAGATTTTCTCACCTATCATTTGTTTGCTGATATGTCTGCACTGTTGTTTTCTCGAAGAATTGGACAGCATGTTTCCAAGCATGTCATACCCTAATTCTTCTTATGAAATTTAGATTCGAATCTAACAAAACAGCTAATATTTTAAAGACGGCTCTACAATTATATCAAGTGCAGTGAACAAACTTTCTAAATTTTGAATTGACCTAGCAAAGTTAATTAGAAGTTCCTCTAGTGGTAAACACTTCTGTTGGGTTTTGAAAAAAAAAGTGTTGTCGATCACAACACATCATTCTTATTTGCCATTGAAATGTATACATGTTCAAAAGTCAATCATACTAATTATTAATTTTCCCTTATAGGCAAAAGCTGATGAAATTGCAAAGCTGATGAATGAAAATGAGCATCTAAAGGCTGTTGTTGAGGATCTGAGAGTGAGTACCATTTTCTTCTCATTTTTGCAGGCTTTTGTATGTACATGGCTATTGTTTGTATTTAATTTTTATTGCTACATTGAAGTGATATGCTCACCTGCAAGTTAATAGTGAAATTTCCCTTATGTATGTCTCTGTTTGAGCATTTACATTACTTCCTCTGTCTCTTTTTAATGTTCCTACTTTACTTTTTAGATTTTCTTTAAATTATTTTTCCATTCCCTGCTCAAGAATGAATTGTGTGGTTCATAATTATTTTTCTATTTGCTGTATAAATGCATAAATTTCAACTGCACAATTTCTTTCACCTTAAGTTCTGCGCAAAAAGAAAATGGGAACATTATATAGGATCATAGGGAGTATTATTTTGTATTTCTCATCCTACATAATGGTGCTTCTACATCTAGGCGTGGGTCTCAACATAGCATGTTTGCTTCGCTGTTTTTTGCCAAACACCTAAAAAGATAACTTTTGAACCTTCTCATTGATTTTTTATTGTACTCTAATGTGATAATATCTATCATAGGTAATGGATATGTCATCCTTCTTCAAACTTATCCCTGTAGTTCAAATTTCCTTTTTCTCTCATCTAATTTTCAGGGAAAAGCCAGTGAGGTAGATATTGAATCCCTGCGAGAAGAGTACCATCAAAGGGTTGCAACTCTTGAAAGAAAGGTATAATTTTTTTGGAGTATTTACCATGGCTGGAGTGAATTTTCTCTCTGGACTGATGCCTCATTACTAAGGATGTTATGTTTATGTCATTCAAATTTCAGGTCTACTCTCTTACCAAAGAAAGGGATACACTTCGTAGAGAGCACAATAAGAAGAGTGATGCGGCTGCTCTTCTGAAGGAGAAAGATGAAATCATTACTCAAGTTATGGCTGAAGGTATTTTTTCCCAATATTTGATTAATTAATGAATTGGTTTTGGCTCTCCAAAACTTTTTTTTGCTTTCATATTATGGGTTGTCTCATTGCGCTTTTCTTGCCCTTAGTTTGCTTTTGTGATATTTTTTGTCGTGCTATTTGCTCTCTGTGTTGCTCGAGCTGGGGGTCTCTTGGAAATAGGCTCTCTACTTTCAAGTTTCAAGTAGGGGTAAGGTCTGTCTACACATACCCTCCCCAGACCCTATTTTCATGGGATTCTACTAGGTTGTTGTATTATGGTTAATGAAAAGGTGGGAGGAACAATTTTTATTTTTAAATCTTACTACTGTTTTTGGTTCTGTGACACACATACATTCATGTAGCATTAATACATGCAAAACTCATATATCTTGTGTTAAATACTTAAGCTTGTAATTTCAGTGTGTCAGAAAGGTCTACTAAGACTTAGTGCTATTTAGTTTTATATCCTTCTTTACAAAATGACCTTGACTAGTTGATTTTGTCAAATGTATTGGATGTTGTCATTGAGCTATTTTTTACTTGTGTACTATTCTTCTCAGGTGAACAGCTTTCAAAAAAGCAAGCTGCCCAGGAGGCTCATATTAGGAAATTAAGGGCACAGGTTATCTTTCAAGCATAATGAATTATGCGTGTTGCTTTTAAAGTTCTCTTAGTTTAATAAACCATTGCCTCTGTTTTGAAAGTTAGATTAGAGAGCTAGAAGAAGAGAAGAAAGGACTGCAGACCAAGCTAGAGGTTTGCTTCTTCAGCTTTACTTTGTGTAACTGACATGGATTATGTATAATACAAACACATTGATGTCTAATTGATCTTTCCAGACACAGATCACATGCATTCCTTCATTTAGTTTTGCCACTTCTGTCGTCTACTTTTTAGAAAATGAAGGAATTCAAATGTTTGAATTTATGATAGGGCGCAATGGTGTCGTTTGATCCATGTAGCCGACCCCACCTAGTGGGATAAGACTTTGTTGTTGTTGTTGTTGAAGGAATTCAAATGTTATCTCAGAAGCTCCATGCAGTTTGAATGGAAGCGAACTCATTACTTTTTCATGAAGATAAAAAACATGTTGGAAAAAGGAAATATATAGGCCTGCATGTTCAAGATTGGACTTTTTGTTTTATTTTCTTCAGGTAGAAGAAAATACAGTGGAGAGTATAAGAAGGGATAAGGCTGCAACTGAGAAGTTGCTTCAAGAAACAATTGAGAAACACCAATCAGAACTCACAATTCAAAAAGAATACTACACAAATGCTTTGAATGCAGCGAGGGAAGCTGAATCATTAGCTGAAGCACGGGCTAATAATGAAGCTAGAACCGAACTTGAGGGTCGTCTAAGAGAGGTC